TAGGTGCCTTCCCTCTAGTCTTACACTGCTAAATTAGGGACGAAATTCAAAACAAACAAGCAAAGCAAGTACACAAAATATATAGTAACTTTTGCCCTACTCTAAGTAACTAAGACTAACGAAGAACACAGCTCTGATATAAAATGCCTTTACAAAAGCGACTCCTGGAGACTCTCGGAGGTATTATCCATTTCAGAAAGAAAGGTGTATGTTTATAAAAAATAAACATCGACACTCTTTTTTTTAAAACCTTAATATATATACATACCATCTCTTAAAGTTTTAAAGTACAATTTCAACACGTAGATTCGCTATCACTGTTCCTACAGTAAAATACGATATTTCTTTTGTTTGCGAAACCATATGTAAAATATTTAGTTTTTTCTAAAATATCATTAAGCCTAACACATATGCACCGAGAAAAAACCCTAACAAACCAGAGCATGCTGGCGTAATTTTAAGGTTTTAAATATTGACTTCCTATTTTATTTTTATTCTATGCAAGATTAAAAAGAAAGAAAATATCATAATTCTCGTGTAAACGATGTAATTATCCCTTAAAGTTGGCTTTCTCACAAAAATCTGGTGTTTCTTTAACAAGTTGAAATACACGGTGAAACAGGAATTACCAGCCAATAATAGATGACTGTTACATGTAGAATAATACTCAATGCTCTGTACACTATACATTCGATGTCTTTAGGGAGCCAACCACTATATTATGTATGAAGTGAAGGAGTAAGAAAAAATCAGTACACATACAGGTTATCAGAAGCTAGATTGGAAGAGCTACCTGACATAAGCACTTTATTTCCGGTGTGTTTTTCGCTACAAATAGCCAAAACCGAGATTTCTTATTTACTTTCATCATGATGATATGTCCACTTCCATCTCTATCTTGTTTGGTTCCTTTTTTCAAGTTCAGTAGCCAGCCCTACATAGCTTTTTTATTTAGCGATAATTTTTTTTCTTATACTTGTATATATATATATATATATAT